ACTGGGTGACAGAAAGGAAATAGGTTGTGGTAGGAGAGTAAATGGCAAAACAAGGGAAAAGGAAAAACTCCCAAGTTTTCTTCTGTCTGGAAATAAAGATGCAGGAGGCTTTTGTATCAATGGCAGCTGTAGATTTCTTTTTAAATTAAAAGCTATGGAGATATTTGAAAAAAAAAAACAAAAACAAACCACATCTGGAAACATTTCAAGCAAAGGCACAGTAAAAAAATGTGTTCAATGATATATTAGGAGACGAATTGATTGCAAGTAACACTAAAACTCAAAATGAGTTAGTTTATTTCTATCTTATTATATATCTGGAAGAAAGAAGTACACTGCTAGTGTCAAGACTTTGCTCCACGAAGCTTGGTGTCCTTCATTACACATGGCCTCTATTTTTAAGATCACCTCAAGGTCCAAGAAGGCTGCTTCAGCTTTTGCCATCACGTCTCTTTCCAGATAGCGGGAAGAAAAAGGACAACAATCCCACTCTCTCCCTTTAAGGAAATATGTCATACCTTACACACAAGACTTTACATCCAGAATTTAGAAAAATGTCTACACCTAGCTTCAGAAAAGCTAGGAAATAAGAGTATTTCAGATATAAGAGTATTCAGTAGTTGGCCAAATGCCCGACTAAAATTCAGGGATTCTATTACTATAGAAAATGAAAGAGCAATTAGGGACAAATAGTGCAATTTCTGCCACAGACGACTGTCATCCTTCTCTTGGTCCCAAGTCTCACAAGTCTATAACTTTAAATCCAGCCTGAGCGTGCCTTCAATGAAACCTATTCTTTCCAACTTGTTTCATAGATGCAAAAACACCTCCCAATGCCCTGAGACACATTGTGGGTGAAGAATGGTATTAGAAAAAGAGGAATGCCAAATGGATTTGCAACTTGCTTGTGGCCTCATTAAAATTTCATAGGTACAGTAGCATCCTCTCAGCATGACCATTTCCCCTCATAACAATGAATTTAAAGTTACAAAACAATTCAGGTTCATTCATGCACCTGGGACGCAGTAGTGTCATGGCTGACCCAGTGTTTCAAATCGAGAGACAGTTGGGACCACAACTCTTGCTGCCAGACCTCCCAAGGATTTTCCTTTCTGGAGTTCTAATAGGTGTCATCAGCCCAGTAGAGGAGACTCTTGGCAAACCCAAGGCTTTCTCCTTCCAGAGGCTCACTGATCCTGCCTCTGCAAAAGGGCCAAATTTGTCCTTGAGAAAAGAATTCTAAGAAGTATCAAGAAGTAAACCACTTTGCCATGTTCCAAATATTGACTCTTAGTAATGAAAGTTTCTTACATTTTCAAACATGGTATTGACTGGCAAGTATAGAGACAAGATGCAGGAGTTCACCTAGCTCTTGGAAAAAGAAAACTTCAGTAGTTTTAGGACTACTAAAGTTTGGAAAAAAGTGGATCTCAGTAGAGGTGAATTCAATCTTTCGTGGTAGAACATTGGGGTTATTTTTCTAAGATCCTATATGTGGAGGAAGGAGGCATGCTGCTGTCTTGTACATACCCGTATAGGTGAGATTTATTCTTAAGCATTTTTCAGTTTAAATATTTATTATTACGAGAGAGTTACCCTGTTCTTCAATCATTTTTTCTCTTAGTATCTTCCCTCACACACTTTAAAAGTGATCCAAATGTTTCACTCACTGAGTGTGGGAAGACACAGAGCAGAAGGAGGGAAAGAATGACAAAAACCCCATGAAAGCCCTCAGAAACATCTGCCAAGAAAGGAGAGGTTAATAACGCTCAAATGCTAATGCTCTCAAGCTGCTTCTACCTCGAAGACATCCAGCTACTGTGTGAAGCTTAAATTGCCTATCTGAAGCAACAATTTGAATTTTAATGGTCTATTCTTATACATAGAAATATTTGACTGGACCAAGTTAGTTCTCAGATGTTGGTCAGTTTCCTGAGTTTTAAGAAGCGTTACTCATTACACCATGTGGAGCCTCTGTTCCTTGTCCTTTACGGTCATAGTTATATCAGTTTCCAAATTCAGAACTGTGACCACATTCCAGTGGAGTATCCAAAGTTGTTTTTATAGGCTTTAACAGAGAAGAAAAGAAAACGTGTCGGGTAAAATATGGGAGAGTTTTTCCTTCTCCTAACCTTCCCCCTACCAAAAAGAAACAAAATTAAAAACAAAGGAACCAGGAAATAAATGTGTGTCTGGGAACTCGACTGATTAATTTCCTCCTAATATACCTGCTTCAGTAAATGCTTGCAGGGGAAATGAGTGCCTGTTCCTCAAGTGTCATAGCTTTCCTTCGGTCTCTCCTGGTGGATCCAATTTCTTAGCAGTGCGATGTATTCCTTGTTGTTTCCAGTATTTTCAATGGACGAGAATCATCTGGTACATAATCCACGGCTGGGCTGGAGGTTGGGCGCAGCTGGCTACAGCTGTACTAGAGTAGCCTGAGAACAGGACTGTTCATATAAGGTGGTTTAAGAAGGTATTTGCAAGTGGTGCACACAGTGGGCTCTGTGCCAAACTCAGCTGGTGACGGTGGTTCACCTTCTGTTGGCACTGCGCTGGTTGTTGGTGGTCACGTAGATGGAATTGAAACTCACTACCCTGATAGTCTGTTTCACAGCTGAGTATCGACCTCTCTGTGGTCAAGTAGATGCTCCCAATATAGTGAAATCCTTTTCATTCATTCCTGCCTTTTAAGGTGTTTCACAACAAATTCTTCTTTGGAAAAAACTCGGTAGTGCCACCACATTTTCATTAATAGTGGAGTGTGTATTTACACGGACTCTTTAAGTGATTTGTGTGTGATTGATTGAGAAAAGCATGCAATGTCTTTTGTGAGGAGAGTGCTAGCCCTTATAGAGTACAAATTCATGCTGTGTTGTCACTCTGGTGCAGCAATAGAACAGCAATGATTAAGATGAAAAGGACAGAGGACAAATTGGTAGGAAAGTCTTGCAGGGTACGTTTGTTTTGGACAGACATACCAAAGGCAAGGAGATTGAATTCATAGAATAAGGTAGTACTGGATGTCATAGGTTAGAAAGAGAAAAGGTGAAGTTCCAAGAATAAGCAATTCATTAGCAAGAATTCTTCAGTACTGAAATATTAAAACAGGAGGGGCCCAGGCTCCAGAGGATGCAGGGGGACCTGGATGGAGGAGACACTGAGACACACTTTTGGCAAAACAAAGGATGTTTTTCCTTTTTCCTTTTTTGTACTGCTGACTCTATGTGAGTGCTAGCTGCCGAAGGGAGAATCGTGGGCTGTCTCCTCCTGATTTACTAATGCCAGAGGTAGTCAGACTCCTGGGCAGAAGTGATATGCATCTACTCTGTAGTTGGTAATGGCTCTATGATCATCTCTTCTTTTGAAAATTTACTACCAAGTGAAGTTATCTTAGATCTTTACTTTCAAATATCCCCCAGTATAAGCAGGCAATAATTTTAAATCATTTTCAAAATTCAAAGAAGTAGTTGAATTAAACATTGTTTACCCTACCCACTGTTTCTCTTGGGATTGAATAAGGAAGCTTATTAGTAACAGTGAAGAATCAGAATTTTAAAGTATTTTCTATTGAGTTTAATGTTTTCTGTGGTATTGTAACATTGCATTTCTTGAGACAGCTAAATAAAGCGGGCAAAACTGGCATGTAAAATAAAATAGCAAAAGAATATTGCAGTTAAGAAAAAAGGTATGAAGATAAAAGCTGCCTAATGTTGAAATGTCTTGACAGCATTAAGTGCGGCTTCAGCTAAATCTCTTAAACTACATTGGTGTGTAGTGTGGGGGAAGGAGGTCTCTCTCTCTCTCTCTCTCCCTTCGCATTTTTAGGGCTGTTGACAGGTGCTGTGATGAGTATAGGTGGAAGTTTGCCTAGGAGGCCCGGTGAAAGGGTTAGCAATCCAGACCTGACTTTTGGCATCTTCCCTGACTAGGTCAAAACCGACAAGGATAAAGGCCAGGACCAACTCTACCTTCTCAATGTTCGACGGGACAGTCCAAGACCTCAGGTAGCTCAGGCCAAGAATTGCCTCTCAGATGCCTCACAAACTTACGTATAGTTAAGTTATATGGGCTGGCCTTACTGTTCATTGGGCATTTTTACTCCTTCTTATATATTTAACCCCCTGTCTCCATCCAATTAGCTACTTATCTTTTCTTTTAAGTTCTTGCCTCAAAAAAGTATGAAAGTTTCATACATTTTTAAAAAATGAGTGTTCATTGAGTGCTTTTCTGTACACTGTACTAAACTCTAGCAGTAGGAAAAAATTAAAAGACATTATTCTTATCCAGTGAATGCCTTTGCACATATACTAACACCCGGTATGTATACCAGTATGAGATGTGTGGAGAAACGAATTACGGTAAGGCAAGCATTAGGGAAATAAGAAAGACAAATTTTTATGAAAACGAAACATTATATTTACCAGGTTTACATAGGCTCCGATGCCTGATTTTTTTCTACACATATTTTTTGATATTGTATGCCTCAGGACTTAGGCATGGGTTAATATATGCACTTACAGGATGACAGTGATATACACACTTTTTCCTTTTCCACAGTTGTTTTCTCTTAATTTCATGAGGTCACCAAAACCAGTGGGAAAAGGCCAATGTTGAAATTCTTGAAAAAAAAAATCCCACACATAATATTTGCATTTATTTTTTTAAAAGAAATTGAAGATTTAAATATCTCAAAAGGAAAATGAGAAGCAATAAGTTTTTCTACGTGAAAATGTCAAATCCAGAATTATATAATATATAGAGAAATACACATTCTAATATATAAGACATTTTATTATTATTATTTTACTATATAGCATACTATTGAATACACCAGATTGCATTTTCTCAGGTGACAAATGGTAAATGAGGCATAGGTCTCTTTGATTTCCCCAAGAACCTCAATATCATCTGTCTTTTGGAGGATTCAGTTTCATATGACTGTCCACAAGGATACCAATGGTGTTTAGTAGTAAAGAACATTTTGATAAGTTGTTCTGTCATTGGTCCTTGCTTAAGTTGTTCACCTTTTTCTTTAATCTGGTTTTCAGCACTTGATCATGTGTTTCTTCATTATTATGCACAGGATCTGGTCGAGGGATAGGTTTTGTGTGTTCGTATGGAATGTCCACAGAAGGGTGATAGCCTACTATTGTGCTGCCATCAGATGTCAAAGCAAGCTCTACTTTACAATTATGGTCATCCGGAACAGAAGAAGATGTAGATTTATGACAAACACAATATAAAGCTCCATTTTGGATTGGAAATGTTTCAAGATAGTTCTCTTTGATATCACCCCCCCATTTTACTGCTGCTGCTGCCATGGTGTATCAAGATGCTTATCAGGTGGTATAAAAAAAGATGTTTTGAAGAGGAATTGCTTTTAATATCTGCTTTTAGGCAAACCAATTTTCATCCCTCGAAAGGTCCTCAACATGAACCCACCATCTTGTCTCCAATATTTGCATTTCTAATGAGAAAACCCAAAGGAAAAAAAGGTTCTCAACACAGTAGAAGATGCTGACAAAATATTTATTTTACTGTGATGTGGCCTTGACCAGATTACTGTTTTTACTGGCCTAGAATGTGTTTTGTTATAATTTTTAAATCCTCTCTTGATCTCCCTTATATGCAGGGTCTTCAAAACGTTAGTGGAAAGATTTGTATTATCTTTTAATTTCATTTTTCTACAAACGTGTTGAAGTACCCCTGTACACTCTCTTTTATAACCCCTTTTCTGTTCTTTGAAAATACATGCAGAAATGCATACTGCATGCTATTCTGTATTTATGTTAGGTTGGCTGGGAGAGTTTTAGGGAGAACATATCCAATTTTTTCACTAGGTTTTGCTGTTGGGATTAGAGAAATTCTCTTTCTTTGTTCCCAAATGTAAGTCAGAAGGCTAGAGCCCTGGATGGTGGCATGGCACCAGCTTTCATGGAGCTTCATAGTCATTAGAAATTAAGAAAATGAATTTCTGTGGTCATGTAAACCAAACAAGACTTAGTTTGATTCCTTATTTGGGGACCACCTGTCACAATTCTTCCATTCTAGGTGATACGGCTGGTTTATAGGCATTGCCAATGCATTCATTCTGTACCACTCACTGTCACTTTTTTATTTACCAAGGTGCAAAATAAATGTGACAATATTATCTGACAGTTGCTTATTGATAACAAGATTCTATGAAAATTTGCCATAGAAATGCCCAACAAAGAACTGTAACTGGGTATTTTCATCATTTGGAGTAATTGTATTGAATACCCCTTAGCTTTGGTTTTGGCTTTGTAGCATAATGCATAGGCAAGGTGTTGATACAGTGCTTATATGGAGTCCAGATATCATTCTGCTATAATGACTGTAACATGGTGTGAATGTTGAAACCAAGACGTTCATTTTTGAAGTCTAAAAGCAGCTGAGAACAGATGAGGGTAACAGAGCAAAGCTTGCTTCCAGTCTCAGCTGTTTGTTCTGCCAGGACATTCTTCTCCCATTAGTTAATATGGACCAGATAGAAACAAAGGTGCTCTGAAGATATCCCCATGTTTCCTGCTAATAAAAAGAACAGGATATCAGCTTACACGTTTAATGCAATCACATGTGTGTTAAAAACTTGGTAATGATGTTCAGCTCTGTAAATTACAGCAGCTTCTCAAACTTTACTGCTTCTGCAAATCCTTGGAGATTTAGTGGATCTGAGGTGGAGCCCAGATATTCTGCAAATTTAACAAGCTCTCAGGAGATGCTGATGCTACAGATGGATGATATATTTGGGTAGCAAAGAGCTACAGCATAATGCTGAAGTGGCCCAGATGTCAGGTCTAATAACAATACCAACAAGTTAATTTATCCCTGACCCATAGAATCAACTGCATTCTGAATTTTAGTTAACCTTCTTCTAAATATTTGCTGTTGGTCGTGGAGAGAACCTAGTGGTGACAAGGGAATGACTGGATTAGGGCCAGAGGGTATATGGAATGTTCTTAGAGCACTGGGATCTCCCTCTTCTCCCATAATTCTTTAAGCCTTACCAGTTACACAGTCATTTGTATTAATAAATTGTCAATTTAAAATGTTTGATCTTAAATTAAATTATTTTAACTAGGTGGTGTGCTCCTAACAGGAAATTGCTGATGGGAGAGATGGATTTTTGAGGGAAGTATGGCATAAGAGTAAGAGTTAGGGACTGGAGAGCATGAAGAAAGATGATTTTGGAGTATGTGGCATTTCAGAAAGTAATTGACTGAGAGGGACAATGAATAGTCCAAGAGAGAATGGGGGTGTGGGCTGGTTTCTCCAGTGCGGATTAGAGTGTCTAGGGGGTCAGGTTGGGGTGAATAGTCCTGGTACAAATGAATGCCATCACTAATAATCAGCTCAAAATGCACATTCCATTGATGGTCAACCAACTGCATCATCTTTTTCTTTTTTTTAGTGGAAAACAACACAATTAGAAAACAAAACAAAACAAAACACAAAATAACTCTCGAACAGGAATCATTCTCCAGCTCACTTTTTAGGTCGATCCTGCCTGGTTTGGCGAGGAAAGAAAGATTTCTCAGTTATACCTGCTTGTAAATTGAGAATTTCAGATATCTCACATGGTTCACACCACTTTTATTTCCAAGTCTGGGATGTAGCACCCTGTTTTGAAAACACAAAGAGAAGTCAATTCTCATTTGTGCACATATATTGGTTTATTTCAATGGTATCAGGGTGACTAGAATGCTTGGAAAGAAGCAGTGTTCCTAGGAACTTTTGGAAGACAAAAAACATTTAAAATATATTTTGACTATTGTAGGGCTGGGGTTCTAAGCCTCAGTAGGTCTGTGCAGTTAATGGGCATGAAATTATTTTAAATATATCATCATCTTTTACTTCAAATAGGGTTTTTTTTTTTTTTTTTTTTTTTTTACAGTGAATGAGAAGCTTGGAAGGGAGAGTGGGGAAATGACAGTGCTATGTGCTTACTTATCGTAACTTATTACATTTAATTATTATAATTACATTACTGCATAACTGTGTTAGGATCAAAGACTAGGTAATCTAATGGAATGAGAATTAGGAAACCAGGAATCTGATTACTGTTTGAATTTCTACCATTCAATTACATCAAATATATCACAAACTTCATCTACTTGCTTGGTGAACATGGTCCCCTTATAACTGTATTTTAATAGTAATGATTTAATATTAACAGTTACCATTTACTGGAGACAGACCTAACACAATGTTAGCATCTTATGATCTTAATTCATTTGGGACTTTCCAAGTAGCCTTTGTCCTGTAAAATGATTATAATAGTGGCCATTTGTCATAGCTTACATATGTATAGTGCTTTGTAATTTATATGGTACCTTCTATTTGTTTTCACCCACATAGTCAATTACTCATAAAGAAATTCTGATTTCTTGACACAAATTTCATTGAGATTTCATAGGATATTTTTACTGTGAATCAAAACATCTTTGCTGTAAGATGGAGAGAAAAGTGAAAATAGCCTTCCATTTTTTTCCTTTTTTTCCTTCCTTTCTCCCAAATTCCGACCATGAAGCATGAGACAGAGGTAACTGCACGGAGCTGTTGGGCTCAAGATCGGCATCAACAGCATTGGCCAAAGGAACCAGGTTCCCAGTTTTTCTTCCATGTTTTCCCCATTTCTATTTTGCCTGTAGACTTAAGTTTTCCCCCCTCAATACCGTACTTTCTTCTTTCATTTTGTCTTTTAAAATTTGTTCAGGTTCTGTCTTCTGGTAGTTGACTTACTGTTGACACTGCTTTTGATCAGCATGTTAAAGCTCTCCCAATTTTGAAGGCTATGCAGTTATGGCCAAATGATAGATGCCAGAATGTGTCACATAGGTGGGCCTGGTAGATATCTGTTATTGAGAATCTAACACCTATATTAATAAAAATTACCTATAGTCACATCAACAAAGCAATTATTTAGGGCCAGCTGCTTATTTATTAATTTTTTTTTTTGGTAATACATTGAACTAGGTAGTTATCAAATAGGATTTTGCCTGTATGGGCTTATTGTTTTAAATCTAAAATATGGTTTATATTACCTGTGAGCCCTATCCCCCTGGCCCTGTATCATACTAGGAAGTAATATCCAGAAGGCTACAGATAGGTGTCTCCTTTACTAAATGAGTTGGCCCCATTTTCTATTTGTTAAAAGAAAATATCCATTATCATTAGAATATTAAATAAGTAATCATTTAATATTACAAGATGTTTGAATAAGGGAATGAATCAATGAAAGAGATGATCCTAAGTTCACAAGGATTAATGTCATTAATGATACTTTATTTTCTTACACTTTTATTTTTCCCCAAACAGAGCAAGATGGACACAATGATATGGCCATAGGAGGAGGAAAATAGCAACATGTGTTTCCCATTCTGGGCAGTCTAAGCCCTATGGAGAGGTGATAATAGGCAGGAAGACAATTCAAGAGTAGTTTGCCTTCATTTTTTTCTTTCCCAAACCAGCTGTGACAAGGCAGTGGGTAAGAGTGTGTCACCTCTTTCTGATCCAAGGTTTCTTTAGTAACAACCAAGGCAGTTTGGGTAGGCAGCTAGTATGATTTATTACTACACTGTTCTGATCAGGAATTTCCTACAGCAGAAAAAACAACAGTTCTGAGATGCCCCAGAAGTATTTAGATATGCTTGGATTTTGATGGTTGGATTTACATATTTCTGCATAACCATAAAATACTTCTTCCTTTGTTCTGGTTTAAAACTTTACCCAGGTTCCTGGCCAGTACCTCTTTTGGGGCAATCATATGGAATTGTCTACCCTGGAACTTCAGTGGGATCAGCTTTTGGGCTCCTTTGATTATCACGTAATTGTAAAATGTGAGGTGATATTTCACTGTGGTTTTGATTCGCATTTCTCTAATGATTAGTGACATTAAGCATCTTTTCATACACCTGTTGGCCATTTGTAAGCCTTCTTTGGCAAAACATCTATTCACGTATGTAGCCCACTTTTAAATTGGGTTACTAATTTTTTTTGCTTGTGAGTTGAGACATTCCTCATACATTTTGGAGATTAATCTCTTATCAGATGTTTTCTCCCATTCTGTATGTTGTCTTTTCACTCGGTTGATTGTTTCCTTTGCTGGGGAGGAGCTTTTTAGTTTGATGTAATCCTTCTTGTCTATTTTTGATTTTGTTGCCTGTGCTTTTGGTGTCACATTCATGAAATTATTGCCAAGACTAAAGTCATGAAGCATCTCCCCTATGTTTTCTTCTAGGAGTTTTAGAGTCTTAAGTTGTATTTTTAAGTCTTTAATACATTTTGTGTTGATATTTGT